TACGAAATAATAACCATAACAGTTCAAGGGCAATATAGGGAAGCATAATTTCCAAAAGACCCAAAAAAAAGTTTTAACTTTAATTTTACGTTTTGTGTGAAAAATTTTACTATCTTTTGTTCAATGAGTTTTAATTTTGGTTTATTTAAAGTTTCAAACTAAGTCAATTCTAAGTGTTTCACAATTTAAAATTTGAAGAACCCATCATTTATCAAGTCCTTTAACGATCAAAATAAGATTCATATAGAATCCTTACATTCATTTACTAAAAATTTTGTTCCTTAAATAAAGAACATAGATTTCAAAATATTTTCAAAATGGAAAAGAATCCATGATTAACTGAATATACATGATTGACTTCAATAAATAACAAACAACAAACATCTATATACATATTAATAAAGAATAATAGTTGAAACAATTCCATGAATCTTATCCTTAAATGATGAGTGGGTCTATGCTTTATAAGCCTAGATCTAGATTCTAGCTGTAAGGAAGCTTGGAGTCTCGCATCTTTCTAAAGGCAATGTATCTTTTCTTTTGTGAATGTAGGCATCAAAGTTTGATGTCACATGTATGGGATGTCCACATGAATTCTATGGAACAATTTTTCTCTCTCAAACGGTTTCTTGTAGTCCAAGACATCAATTAAGACCACCTAGTGTGTGTTTTGAATATGAAACTAGGGTTGGTATTGATTCAGCTTTACCCAAGAGAGCTCACCATTACATGATGATAATTTTGACACAAGACACATCTAAAGTTCATTTTATTGTTTAAAGACCATCTCAAAGTACTCCCAACCATTCATGAGTAGTTGCTAAAAGAACTTGACTAAATAATAAGCCTACAACCTCTACTTCCCTAAGAGTTTGTGCAACAAAATAGAAGTCAGACTTATCTACTATGCAATCATTTGTATTTAGCAACGACCCATGAATCTCAAAGTTATTGTTTCAACATTTTAAGCAAATTAGCCTAAAATTTAAGTGGATATACCATAAAGGCCTTTGACTTCAAACACTTTCCTCAAGCAAATTGTAAAAGCTCAACCACCAAATATCAATATGTCATCAGCTCATTGCTAAATTCCAATTGGGGAAGTCAAACCAAACTTATATCATATTAAAATCTTTAATTCAATAATTTTTCTACTTAATATTGATGATAAGATGAGGTGTTGCTTTCTCTTCACTTTCAATGAGGTGCTATTACGATAGTTCTGTCATCGATTCATCAAATAAACCACTCATGCACATAAGCAATTGAAGAATTAGCAAACACATATAGAGTAGGAGGCCGAAACATGCTTTAATGACAGAAAAAAACACTCACTTTGAGCCCTAATAAAGCTTCTTTTTCTCAAACTCTTGGATTGCAATAGTTGAAAATTTTGATAAAGCTGTATAAATTAGTCAACTGTTATATCAATGTAGAGAAATACAATTATGTGAATCCAACTTTGACCTCCAAGCTATATCATTTTGGACTTGTGAGCTACTCAAGAAAAACTATCTCCTGAGATCATCAAAATAAGTCTTGCCAGATAGCTCAATCATGTAGTCATCTGATAGAAATTCATCTAACGAATCAAGAAAGAACATGTCTACCTATGACCTTCTAAAATGGGAGAGATTGTTCTAAATCATGATATCGAACATTTACACCACTCACAATGTCATTGGCTGATATAGATGACATCACTAATGAGTACATAAATCAAACTCCACCAGTGCACATAGCATTGATCGTGTGTAACATATTGAAATATTGTATATTTAGATCCATGGGCGCGAATCTCAACTCTGGAAACTGAGAGGATGACACTTAGGCGACACCCGCGTGGCTCTAAGGCACCGCGATATTGGAGCCTAGACGCTGCTCCCTTGGGCGCCAAGGTGCTCATGCACTCTTCAACAAACCAAGAGACTGATGTCTAAGCATCAGCCCCTGGGCGCTAGGCGCTAGCAACTGTATGAGGGAGTTTTGAGCAGTTCGACCACCTGTCAGAATGTTTCTAAGAGGTCGCGGAGTGACCACTTATGCTGAGAAGAGTGCTTATAAATGCACATGTATCAGGGACTTATGGTTATAATTGATTAATTGATAAAAATTAGGTTTAGAGTGAGTATTTTTGGGAGAATTGAGTGGTAAAGTAAGGAGAAGGTTGTGTATATGCTATAGAGTTTTGTTCGTTCTTCTTCTTCTTCTTCAATGGAGGATAGAAAGACTTTAGAAGCAGTAGCAAGGGAAACATTTGGTGGAGCATCTTTAGGATAGGAAGATAAATGATTGTGCACTTCATTTGTTGTATTTCTTTAAACACACCATTTATTGGAATTCTCTTAGTTTCAAATGAAATTTTGTGTTATGTTTTACATACTTTCTGAGTAGTACTCTTTATTTTACCTTATGCTGATTGAGAAGGATGTGTAAGAGTGGAAAATATTTTCAAAAGTATTTATTTAATTACTTAATGTGATGATTAACCTTCAGATCTTTGTTTACTTTTTATTCTAGCCAAGTGAAATATTAAAATGTGTTGTGAACCATAATGACTTGGGAGAGCTATGGTAGAATCAACTAGGTTAGTCACATTGAACTGCGAAGTGTGAGTGCACATGTTCATAGAGAGATGCAAATGATAGAGAAATATTCTTTAACGGGTTCAAAACGGGATTTAAGAAATTAAAGTCATTTTAACTAATCTTCTTTATGTACTCGAGAGAGGGTAAAGAAGAAAGTTGCTCATGTATGTCACTAGACAAATTTACAATTAACACTTTACATTTCCTGCACTCCACTTAAATCATTACAAGGGAGGGTAACTTTAGAACATCATATTCATCAATCCAAGACTTAGCTAAGTTGGATTTTTGTAGGATTTATACTTTACACTTGCCTTAAATAATATAGGAATAGTTTGTAGGACTTTAACCCAATATAAATTCCAGGATAGGAATGAAGCTAGTGGACTAGAACTTTTCCAAAGTCTAATTCCTTTGTTCCCTGTGGGATCGACATTCCAGACTAAAAAAATTGATATTAGTGATACAACACGTGCACTTGTGTGAAACGACAGAGTGTATTTGCACTTGGAAGATGTATCACGAGATTGGAGCGATGAATTAGACCCGAAATTGTTGGAGAAGGTCAGAGGTGACAAAGGCGATAAGTGAAATCCGAAGGAAGGAAATGAGCGCAAAGTGGAGCTACAGTACAGTACGTGGGAAAGCCATTTTAGGGCATTAGTATCAGTCGTAGTGTCGACCACATCCAACACTAATTCAACACTATAATGTTGGTCATGTGTCTATCACTCGATGCTATTTTTATACGTTTGTTTTTTGGAAGCAGAACCATGCAACGACACTAAACTGACACTAATCGGTCGGTAATTTTATGTCAGAAATAAGTCCGACGCTAATTCTAACACAAATTCACAAATTTCTGAAGTGCTTATTGTTTATTTTATTGAAGGTTTATGCAATGATTTACATTAAATCTCAGTGTGGATTTTCTTTCTATTTCTTTTGCATGTATTTTTTCCCATATGGGTGGTCTATGAGGCAACCATGGGTATAATATTTAATGTAAGTTTTTATTGCATGTTTTTTTTTTCTTTGGAGGTCTATGACGAGATATTTGAACTTATAAGTTCTTCTGGATGGCCTATATATTCCTATTGAATGTTGATACATATGAAATCTCAATGAAGGCAACCAAGTTCCTCTCCTTTTTAAGTTGTATGACTTATGAGGTCTGACAAATGACATTTTTGGTGATATGCATATGTGACACATACGAGCCTGATATTATGTAATTTATAAGCAACAAACAACCTATTTTTCTTCAAGGTCTACTACCTTCTTGTAGTGACACATTATTAGTTGGTTTATACTTTGTTCTCTAAGACTTCATAAGTTTATAGAATTGTAATTATGTTTTTCTATTATTCTTCATTCTTAATGTTGCATTCAACGGTCTAAGTTTTGTGGCCTTATACCTTCAAAAAAGATGAGCTCGAGAATTTCCGGACCCTCTGAAACATTATACTGCTACTCTAAATGCATCCTTCTTTGCTTACTTCGCGACATATACATAGTTATTAGAGATAATTTTACAGGTGTCCAAAGATTAAACCAACGAACTGTGACTTTTTTAATTAGGCAGATAAATTCAATGATTCCACCGCCAATAGTGATCAGGTTTGGAGAGTTTTGTTGAAAGAGAGATTATCTCGTGGCATTAACTTGTTATATTTTAAAAGCCTTATTATTAGAATATTAATTATTATTTTAATATTTTTTATTTTTATGTTACTCATAGTTTAGTGAGGTTTTAGTTTTGATTTTGTAATATTCAAACTGGATTTATATTTTCAAGTATGAAATATGCATACTAGATTGATTTTGTACAACTATATACTAAATGGACAGAAATGTCATTTGTTCAAAAATAACTGCAGTATCACTGCTGCAAAACTGCAAAAACCAAACAGACACCTAGCTTCTCTGTAACACCTTCTGCGCAACTGCTTCCTGTCACAACTGTCGCACATCAACTTTTTAATATGTTGCGACTGCCTTAAACAAACCCTTAATAACATGATTTGAACAAATTTAGAGCAAGGTTCAAACTCGATTCAAATGTTATTGTAACAATTAATATTTTGTTGTTTAAAGATTGAAGTTTTTTGCATTTGCTTTTTTTGTTTGTTTAGCAAAATTGTGTTCTGCCGATATTTTCAAAAAGTTGTACCTGCAAGCTACATTTTCCACCAGACATGTGTATCTGTGGTTGCTACTAGAAAACTGAGGTCTGATTTGTTTTTTTTTTAATTGTAATAGCCACTACAAGTTTTCCAACAATAATTTCTTCTTCAACATTTTCATAATTGCATCTTCGAACTACTGCACCTGTGTGATTAAGTAATTAGGCTATTTCTCTAATTTGAGAGATAAATTAAGCTCCCATTTTTATAGCTAGAGATTAAATCCACTAAAAAGTAGAGTTGGGATGAGTGGCTCAGAGAAATGGGTAGGGAGCAGCCGTGGTCTCCCGCCGGAGGCATCAGAAGTGGAGGAGATGCTCCGCGCCGCCGAAGACGAGCTCCTAACGGGCCTCCGCGTTGGCTCCCATACCATCTCCTCCTCTTCTCTTGATCACGATCTCGCTCGCCGCTTCGATGCCCTCAAAGCACCTCGCCTTCGTCCTCCGATGGCGATCCAGCCTATCCGAACTCCTCAGCCCTCGGCACCACAATCCAAAAGCTTAGAAACTAAAGATCAGATCTATGGTGATCCCATGAATGATGATCTCATGGCCAGGTTTGCAGCTCTCAAGAGTCTCGCTAGCAAGCCAGAGCCGATGGTGGATCCTATCTCGAATCGTGAAGATATCACCGATGATGAACAAAGCGAGGATCTTGAAGACGGAGATATGGTTTCGAAGAAGGAGGTGGATAAAGTGATCATGTGGGCAATGGACGCCGCTAGGCTCGATCCTTCTGTAAATAACGATGAAGACAATGATTTAGACGAAGAGAGTGATCATGAAGACGTCGATGTTAAGGAGTTGGAAGCAGAGGTTGAGGAGAAGAAGAATAGTGATAAGGGTAAAGGGAAGCACGGTAATTCCGATAAATTTCCCTTCAATGGAAGGTTCGTCAATTGTTTGTTCAAATGCTGCTTTCTCTTCAGCCTGTATGCCTTTTTCACTCTGAAGGTCTATGATCATGTAGTCTGCAACGCAACCTAGACTTGAGTAAGGTCTGTGCTATAAGTTGTAAAGGAAAAAAATTCTTGAATTGTTGGTTTAGTTAATGCTGCTAACTTGCTATTATTTGTTCTTCAAATGTATACTATACTTCAATGGCAGCAGCCTTGTAAGCCATATGTCATTCAAACCTCCCGGCTTTATCTGCTGCGGATTCATGTTACGTCCACCATATCCATCCGCGTTGTAATAAACTAGCTCTATATTGAAATTAATCATTTTCTTTTAAAATACATTGTTGTTGATTTTTTTAAAATGAATCAAGTGATACTCGCCTAATAAACCTAGGATTTAACTAAATTAATAACCTTGTAACCTTGGAAATGATCTGTGGAGGAATTAAGAACATAAAGAATGAGAAGTGAGAACTATAAATGAAGACCTATTTTCTGAAATAAATCATTACAGCCCAATTTTTTGCTGCCATATTCTCAATGAAATAATATTCTGAAGCTAGATGGCAGATTTATGCTTCATTCTCATATTTCTAAGATTAAAGTACTCTAGTGGAAGCAAAACAACTGATTTATTATGCCAAAAATATCGAGAGAAAAAATCAACATAATAAGAAAAACTGTTTAATACCATGAAATTATTAAAACCCATCCGCAACTCCCTCCAGGAAATCAAGTTAAACTTTTGGAAATCAAACTTGTGTGCAGATCTTGTAGAACACCTCGGTTAGCAAATAAAAAAGTTACAAAACTGTGTTCGGCTGGGATTTGATCTGTTTAAGTTTGGTTTGAAAAAATTGATCAAGTTGTAGGATAGGCCTTGCACGCTTGAAGGAAATTCATGCATGTATTATGGATGCATGATTGTATCTATACTACCTACACACCATATATGCATATGAATTTAATTACCATACAGGAAAGCATATTTATGTGCTCTACACAGATGTGCATATCTAATTACAATCAAATATATGTAGATTACATAAAGGGACATTAATGTATTTGCATGGTTAGCAAAAGCGTCAAAGCATTTCATCAGCCCTTCCCTATTGCTTATTTAAGGAAGATTTACATTCATTCCACTCAATTCTTATGTAATCACAGATTTAACACATTCTTCAATTTTTACATTTATACCACCTTTCCTATGCATAAGAAGGTCCATTTCCTTTTTAAAAAGGTAAGAAAGTGGAATTTTTGATATGATACAAAAGATTTGGGCTGCAAGAATGTAAAAAACTAATACCAAAATGGTATATCCTGAGAAACTGTTTGCAACTTTAATAGGATTTAGTAGAATTTAGTTAAAAGAGACTATATGGGCAGCACTTCTGTTCTTCTTCTGTCTAGGGGACTCATTCCTTCCTCCCATGATAACGAAGTCTTCCTCACAATCTCTTCCCACCAACTCAAAAAGCTTGCTGCCACCTCAACTGGTTGCTTCTCATAAAAGAATTCTTCATACAAAATAAACTAATCATAACAAAATAAACTAACTAAAAGCATACTGAGAAATATTTGAGATTGCAGCTGATGAAGAAGAAAGACATGCTAACCTTTCCACTTCATCTGGTCGCTTGTCATCACCCTTAGGAGAATGGAACCAAGTGAAGGCTCTTGTAACCCACTCCCTCCAGACTTGCAATATTTGGAGTACAGAGTTTCAAATATTGCGAAACAACCTTTCTTAGCTTTCCATAGCAGAACTTATGTACAAAACCATCACTTTGTCGTCAATTTTCACAGAAAGAAGCAAAAGACAGTCCTCTAAAGATAAACTCAAATCTCTTAAGTATCTTTCTTACAAAGAAAATTAAGAAAAAAATGTTTAACGACTTACTGAACTTGCATGTGAGAATCAAGAGAATATAGTGAGCTTTAGTTGCCATAAGTTGCAGAATATAAAGCAAAAGAACCACTTAGTAATATGACATGCATAAACATGTGCTGGTCAAGTAAGGAATGTTATGGAATAGATTTTTTTGTTTTTTTATTTTTTCTGTTTGACAGCTGGAAATGTGTGTGCTTTCTTCACTGGAAAAGGATAAAATGGTGGAAGAAATAAGATTAAATATGAATTGATTTTTCTGCAAAAATATAGGCTACAAATCTGTAAGATTCTACTCTTAATTCGATTAAAAAAAGTGCAGTACAGAACTAAACAAGAAAATCTACTCAGTTTGCAAAAATAAAGAGAATCTTGATGCAAAACTTTGATGAAGCAAAATAAGAAACCGCTATAGCTCCATACAACAATGGCAACAATCAACCTTACGAAGTGGATCAACATCTTTGACTCATTGTCGGTGAAAACTATATTATAAATTTATATATTTTAACTTCCTATGACAAATGCATATAATTTTCTTAATGTTAGTTCTTATATGTGTTTCTCATATATTATTAGTGATGGTATGTCTTGTGACTTCCCTTTGAAGTCTTTCACCAACCGTTCTATGAAAATAATGACTTTTATCATTGATTTTCACCTCATCGTATTTACTATCATATTTCATCTCAATTTGTAACATATTAAAGTACAAATCATGTCCATAATGACAACAAGTAAAATTGTGTAATATACACAAACAATCACAATATTTGTCTGGTTTGATACTAGAAATTGATGCATATGTGTTAATACATGAAACTTTCTTTCCAAATCTGAAAAGTCCTCTCAATAATATTTCATAATTGAGCATATCGATGACTATACAATTCCTGTTCTATTGAGTAGAGATCATCACGATATTCATTCAAATGATAATGATAACATCTAAAGAGTGCTATAATTTTATCTTTATTTGCATATCCACAATCTAGCAAGTAAAAGTTGTTCTACGGTACTCTAACCTCAACTGCCCAACACAATACGCTTATATTTGTTGCAAATCCCTCTAAACTAGAACCTTCATAGAGAAATTGTCGGTCAAATGAGATTGTGGCCATCATATTCTAGGAAGTGAAACCCTTCCTTTAGAGGTACTTATTCTGTAAAGTTTTATTGGCAACTACCATAATATGTGGATCATCTTTTGCATCTATGACCTTTTTAAAGAATGGATAAAATTATGGGTTATTTTGTATAGTTGCAATCGATGGGTGGCGGCTTAATAAACTCTCTCTCCTGTTAATAATATTATTGCATCTAACACATTATTAAAATGTCTGGCAGTTATGTGACAGTTTACTTCATTTTACCGAATTTTGAAGGGACATTTGAAGCACCTATTGGCTAAAGAGGGTGGTCATGACCACTAAAAACGAAAATATGGTTAGAAGGTCTGTGAAAGGAGTCATCCTTTGGAGAATACATCGTATTGGGATGCATTTTGAGGAGTTATCGAGATGAAGAGTTATCCAGGCACCTCTTGGAGATTTATAAAAGAAGGAAGTTGAGACTTTTTGAAGTCTGCTTGAAAGTTCTAAAAAGTGTTAGAAAGGGGGAGTTTTGAGAGATAATTTTGGAGAGATTTTCAGACACCACAATGGAGAGATTTTCAGAAGATTTTCAGACACCACAAATTTACTTTATTCTTTTTGTTTTTAGTTTTATTTTGAGAGTCAAGAGTGTTGTAAAAGAAAAGAAATTCAACGGAACTTTAAGAGTTTGGTGGAAGATTTGAGATAAGTTTTTATCTTTTGTTTTTAAACTATTTTTGGTTTTAATCGAGTCTTCTTGTTGGTTTGACAATGATTTCTACTTTTAAATTAAAGTGTGATTTTGTTTTCTCCATGGATTATGAGTAGTTTTATTTATCTTTCTCCTTAAAATGATAAGTAATTAAAAGTGTTGGATGGAAGTTGTGGAGAGTATTGATATTTAATATTGGAAGAAGTTGTGATGATTTAAATTCATGCACTTCATTTACTTCTTGATTTGACCTATCCAGATGTTAAAATTTGTTGTGAGAAAATGTAAGAACCGGGCTGGTATTGTCTTAGTCAACAATTGGAAAGAATCACATGAGGTTGTATGAATGAGAATGTAATTCA